ATTCTGTCTCGTTGGTGTGGTCATCGTATGTTGATTCATTTAGCAAGCATTTCTCTGGCTTCTCCCTATCTGCCAGACTCTCGGTTAGATACCAGAGGGACAAAAGAAAAGTACCAATACTATTATCCTTAAGGCTCTCAATCCCTGTGCATAAAGTCAGTGATTCTAAATAGTAGTTACCGGGTAAAGACTCCAAATGGGCTCTGGAGAATGAGGCTTTTCTCACCAAGTATTTAAGTGTAAGCTTAGATGGAAGTGCATTTTATAAAAGGGTATATGAAGGCATAGAAGGGTTGTGCGAGGGGAGATATGAAGGATAATGGAGTCTTCAAGAGATGTGTTCCTGCTAAACCAAGCTGAATCTGTAGGAAAGACAGAGCGAGATAAGGCCAAGACAGCAATGGCAGCAGGGAGACCCAGCGTGTCAAACTCACGGGCCTGAAACTTTTTAGAGACACAATGAGCGGTCCTTGAACAAGTCAAAGCAGATAGCAGGGAGAAACAAATTCGTGTTTTCAGAAAGATAACTTTGGGGCGACGTGCAGGAAGAGATTAGAAGGGACCGAGACTGGAAGTAAGGAGATCCATGAGGAGACTGTGGCTAAAACCCAGATAACAATGGGCTCTGGGCTCAATCATTGTCCAGTTGCATGCAGTGGCACCAGAGGCCAAAAGCAAAGGTCAAGTTTCCACAGGAGGAGAGCGCTAAGCTGCCCATCAAGCCAACTGGACATAGCTCCCCTGGATGCCACGTCCTCTCCCTCTCCTGTTCTCCACTTTCCTCTCCCACGTAGGGCTCTTCCTTCCACCCTTGCACAAGTTAAGTTGATGGAGAAATCACCTTCCCAAGAAACTATTCTTCATTATAGTCTCTCTGCAACTATTTTTTTTAATTTCTTTCATCGCTGCAATATTCTACAACATACATTAAGTATCTTGGCAGTCACACTGTATCTTGTAAGTTGCTTTATAGACATATGGGAAAAGATGCAGCCCTATAACTAAACTGATTGTTTCTTTATTTTTGTTTTTTGTTTTTAAAATACCTATTCCTTTTATTTTTTGAAATTGAAATGTAACCACCACTTTATTAAGCCAACATAATTTCTAACTACATTCTAAATATTTGTCTTTATATACCCACAGATAAGTATAGGTCTCACCCCCCATTCAAGAAACATCCCCTCACCACAGATGGAAATCATTACGGAAAACCACAACCAATCAAATGCAGAGAACAAGTGACTCGGCGGTGCCCAGCAACAACTGATGCGTCTAGAGCAGAGCTCCTGCAGCTGAGGCTCAAGGGTCAGAGCAGAAGCTGGGGGAGAAAGATTATAAGAGCCAGGGGATCAGGGCATTTAGGTGAGAATTCATCTCCTAAAAATATCAGAGAAGATACACCCACACCATTCCACAACATGGATGCCTAAAGAAGACCTGAACAAGGATGACAGACACATCAGACATGCTACCGTGAAAGGGCCCTGTTGTCTCAAGTCTTCCCATTTTTCCCTATCTCCTATACACAGCAGACCAGTAGATGCTTGATCATGGGCAAGTATTCTTTAAGGAGCAAGGGGTCTCCTCCGTTAATATTCCACCAGATTCGCTTTCTGAGTGGTGGGGCCTTTCTCCCCCTAACAGTGTTGCTGTGGCATGAACTGATTTTATACCATCTAAAACTCAATAGAACAAGCTGTTAGTTTCATGGTATCTCCATGTCCCCGCCACTCTGTAGTAAAACAAAAATGCCATGTGGATCCACTTCTTTCCCACCCTGCTAAACGCACAGCCTTCCTGCTTCCCAAAGTTGACTGCTTCTCACTTTTAAAGCCAATACAAAATCTGGGCCTGATGGTATACACTTTTAATCCCAGCATTTGGCTGGGGAGGAAGGCAGGCAGTGGCAAGTCGATCTCTATGGGTTTGAGGCCAGTCTGATCTACAGAGTAAATTCTAGGCTAGACAGAGGAACAGAGTGAGACCCTGCCTCAAAGCAACAACAAAGATCTGAAGAAAGAGTCTCTCCTTTTTGTGATGTTAAAATACCTGCACTATTCTCTGACCTCCTTTGAGTTTCCAGAAAACAAAAATGTTCTTTGCAGAAAAGTTCTGTCTTCCCTGGTGCACAGCATGGTAAACACCGTCTTCAAGTGTTACCAGGGTTGTGCCTGCACCTCCATCACTGAGTATCCATGCTTGTACCCCATCCTGACTACCTTGCATCTCCCGCGATCAGCTGTCTAAACCCACGAGATGTGTTGATTGGGCAGCTAAGATGGTCATAAACCGAGTCAGGCCTGAAGGATTTTCCATGTACACTGTAGCTTCAATACCACAGGGTGTTGTTAAAGGTGAAAAAGTTCCATTTTAATCCTATGGCACAATTCTTTAGACAATACAGTCTTCTGAGCATACTAAAACCTTAATATAACCAGCAAGTACCAGGTAAAGCAGCACACCTAGGAGGCTGAGGCAGGACAAAAGGCTCCAGCATCGAGGCTTAAAGCTAACCAGGGTGAAGAAATGCATTTGAAAAGTCACTGAGAGCTGAAGAATGTAATTTTATCTTTAAAAAGACCCCCTGGATTCTGTGACCTTCTCAACAGAAGCGCTGAGAACGAAGCTCTGTTCATGTCTTTGCTCGTGAGAACCCATTGCATTTTCTTTAAGCACCTGACCATCTGAAAGCACAGAAGACAGCGATCACGTGATTACGTGCTGTTTCCAGGGATGTTGGACGCTTAGAATTATTAATTACAGGCCAGAGTAACGTTCAAAATTCATTCAACAAATTTCATAGAGTTTCAATGGAGAGAACAGGTCACACATGTGAGGAAGACATTGGAGGTCACCACAGAATATATACAGGCAGCACCTCGAGGTCCAGCAAACCACTGCTGATCGCCATCCACACACAACAAACAGGCCTGGAGGATTCCGTTCCCAGCAGCAGCGGTAATTAGCAAAGGTGCAGAGCTGCCCTCTAGTGACCGAGATGCAAACTGCAAAAGGGCTTCATCGGCAGAAACCGTTAATTCCTCCCACCCAAGCAATTAAACACAAAATTTAATACGATTTAACACATAGAAGTTACAGTAAAACTTCAAAAGAAAGAGACAAAAGTGAAATAATAGGTTTATACATCTCTATTATATATCTGGAGAGCTGACTCTTACAAAAGATATAGTTCAAAAATAATAGAATCTAACTCTTGAAATGAATATCGCATTTCATTCATCCAGTGGTTTCACAACAAGATGGTACCAAACAGCCGCCTGGATATTATCTGCATAAAAGGAAAATTTAGCATCATAGGATCTGTAAGAAATAAATGCCTATGCTCAAATATTGCTTACTGTTATGGTTTCTGTAGTTTTAGTAGAGTTGCTTTTAGCTCCTCCAAACATCATTTTATTAGTAAAAGGGCAAACACGGTACCTGTTTTAAAGGGTTACTGTAAGGGTTATGTAGGCCAAAGAATAAGTACCTAAGAATTGAGCGTAGTCCTCTGCAGAGAGCTGCAAATGCTCTGAACCACCGAACCATCTGTCTAGCTCCAACACAATAATTTTTGTTGTTTGTTTGTTTACCATTGCTGGTCTTACAATTTCATTCTCCTAATTGCAGCCAATTAAATAATCACAGGCTGATGCCACCAGGCCTGGCTAGTGTACCGAGTCAGTGCAGGTCTCCCCTTTAACACAAACAACCAGGACAACCCGAAACCTGGGAACATTCTTATGACCCAGTCCCTCACGGCAGCTTTATTCTGAACAGTAAAGACTCAACTAGCTGGTGTGTTCTTGAGAACCCTGGGACTGTCTAGTTCTAAGAAAATCTCAGAGCCTGACCTCACTTCTAAGAGGAGCACTTTAATGTAACAATAAACTTATTCTTTAACACAGAACTCATTCTTCACTTTGAGGAGTTCTCAAATGCCAGCCGTTATCCAGTTCGGAGTGGGAGCACCATGTCCTACATAATCTATATATACCACGATCCATTAACCAGAAGCCAGCATAGGTTTGCAGCTCAAGTGAGAGCCCTCTCATCTTCCATAGACCAGAATCAATAGACCAGATCCAGTCTTCTTCCTGTTGGCTTACAGTGTAGACTAACTTATTTTCTAATGCAGTATGAAACCATTGTCAAAAGCATCGTTTGGAATACCTATGGATAAGCGCCACAGCTCCTTGTACATCCAGAAGAGTAACTGCTAACCTCAGTCATTGTGCTATGAAATGTTTCCTTTCTGGATGTCCTAAATTATTTATTTCTGTATGTGTATGCATGGTTGCATATGTGTCAGAGCATGTTTGTGCAGGCATGTGGAGGCCATAAATCAATATCCAACATCTTCCTTAATCATTCTTCTCCTTTGCGGGGTCTCTCAATGAAGCTATTTGACTACGCCAGTGAGATTCTAGGCTCCTCCTGTCTCTTACTCTCCAAAATGAGGCTTACAGACACGGGTAATAAAAAATAAAAGTGTCTAAAAAGATGCCATCAAATGTCTCATTCTTTAAAGGCATTTAAGAGTCTTGGGGGCTCAATAACGTAGTCATTGCCAACCATGCACAAAGGCCTTGTTCCTATCCATGGTGAAGGATGTCTTATTAGATATGAGGAAGGTCATGCCAAAATTGTTTTAAGGGGTACCCTTGGGACTGTGTTTAGACATGTCACAGCATAGAATTTCCAGATGTGGCCTGAAATTTCTGCTGGAGATGGCAAACGATGGGTCCAGCTCTCTGGTTGGGTATAGAATCATACGGATCTGTAAAGCCTGTACATGGTTCTCCTTGAAGGATGAATAGGATTGCAAAGTATAAATTAAAAGGAACATTTCATTTCACCTGGCAGGATCCCCTTGCGAGCTAACACTTGGGAAGCACAGCCTCTGGTACAGAGAGGAAATGCCAATCACAGATCTATCACTGTTTGAAGGTGAATAATGGAATTGGGGATTTACCATCCTAATGAGGCTTTCTTACCTGCTGGACACCGTTTGGACATTTTTTCGGGCTTTCCAAAATAGAGGATTGAGGTTCTGGATTGGAAAGGAAGCAGACAGTCAATAACTTAAAGAATAAAAATTCCCATTTCCTTAGTTAAAAGCAAAAACTTCCACTAGATATGTATTATTTACAGTAAGTACCAAAAATATCCAGTCTTTTTTCTAAATCATTAGCACAGCATGTGAATATGATTGCTTTTCAGTATAATAAACACACGATGACACATACTGTGTCATTAGATATTTCACAAACAGGAGGCGCCCGACGCTGTGCTCAGCAGATCAGCCTTAATTATTTTTCCTAATTGACTTTTGTTTTCCCCCGACGTCCTTGCTTAAGAATGTAAACTTGTTATTCACTTAGTGAAAGTTCATACATGATGAGACCACCTCAGTCTTGAAGCAAGGGATTTTTAAGGCTCTTTGAAGTCCTGACAAATTTGGTTCTGCTTTGTGATCTGCTTTCTGCGATGTATGATAAATACTGCCACCTGGAGGCAGGAGTAAGAAGGGATTCTGAAGGGATTTTCTACCTTCAGCGTTCTTGTCATTTGAGATTCTGCGAGATAACAAATTCATCATACTGGGATGCACATTAAAATAAATAGAGATTGTTGTTGTTGAAGGTATAGAGTATTTTCTATGTGAAAATGTAAGTATATAATAATAAAAAAAATCTCATCCATCCTCTGCATTTTAGAAATGAGAAGCTCGTTCATTGGCAAGACGAATGCAGGAGTTTAAGTCTTTTGTGTATTAGGGGCAGGGTTATATACAAGACACTGCAAATACAGTAGAGCAGTCACTGTCTGTAGTGTCATAAAGGATGCGCACAACAGTGCTACCAAAATATATTGTGTAGTTAGTGCTTAAAGAACATGAGGAACCGTGAGGCTGCGGTGAAAGCTTTCCTTGTACTCAGATGAACACTACAGCCTCAGCACAGCCTTGCTGGCCTTCCATCATCTGCCTATGCTCCCCCAATCTCTGCAGACATTCCACCTTCCCGACTAGCTCACTATGCTCTTACCCCCATGGCTCTCTTCAAATTGAAACACAGACCCTTCCCATAACCCTCTTGTTTCCTTGTTCGCTTCTAAGAATTTTGCTCGGGGCCTGTAGGTGGAGGTTTCTTTCCTGCCCACCAGTTTCCAAATAACTGACATGGAGACTTAATGTTCATTATAAATGTCCGGTCAATAGCCTAAGTTTATTACTAACTAGCTTATAAAAGTTAGCCCATTTCTACGCGTCCACATTCTACCACATGACATCACCTCTCTTTCATCTTGCACCTCTATGTACTCTATTAGAACTGCATCTTCATACCTCCCTAAGACTCCTTACTTGTTCATCACACCCTACATTCCATATTTCACCTCTTTGCCCTTATCCATTACTCTGTGTTATCTTTGGAGTTAAAAAGGTTCCCTGAATACTATGTCTTCAAGGCTTTGACTTCAAGCTAGTGGTGTTACTGGGAGGTCAGGAGAACTTTAGAAGATGAGGCATCATTGGTCATTTTGAGCATCCCTTAAAGGATATAATAGAAGTCTATATATCACCCTTCTCTGATTCCCAGTGGTTAGAAAAGTAACTGCTCTAATGCACCATGAACCCCCTCACACAATGGTCTGCTTTAGCACAGATTTAAAATCATGGAACCAAGCTACCACAAATAGAAACCTCTAAAATCATAAACCAAAATAATTCATTTCATTCTTCAACTTGATTTTATTGTGCACTTTTTACAATAATAAAAAACTAAGTAGCACACTCCACCACAACACATACTCAATGGAAGCAGGCCCTTTTGTCAAATGCCGTCCTGTTGTACAAATGGAAGAGTGTTTGCTAACAGCAAGTGCTTAAAACAGTTGCAGAGTGAATATAAGAATGAAAACAAATGAGACGTTGTCAAGTCAAGGAACAGTGTTACTGTTAAAGAGTTGGGAAGCCTTGTTAGGGAGGAGCAATGAATTCTAACAAGGGAGTAGAAATCTGCCTCCTATGTTCTTATTTCCTGAACGTCAGCTAAGATTGCATCTTTAGAAACAAAGGTCAGAGACTGGCATGGAATAGCCACTTGCCAACAGAAGTCAGAGTGTATTAGAATATCAATAAGTGAGTTTACAATGCAACAATTGCCCCAGACAGCACTACCTCCTCGGGCTAATCAAAAGAGCATATTCTCCTCTTGTTCAACTTGACACCAGTGCCATCTCCATTTGAACGGAGATCTTTGGTTTAAAAGCACATCAACAGTTAATAAAGGAAACCCCAAATCTGCTTCCCTCTCTTCCACTTCTTCCCAAATAGAGACTCACAGACAGTCCCTGCTTAGAGGACATAAAGGGAAGAGCCTTTTCTTTTTCTGTCTACTTAAACATTACAGTGAGAGCAATAGATCTCCTACTTATACTCTGGGGTTTGTCTTGTTTGTTTTTACATCAGATATGTACATAAGGATTCTTAGCTGTTTTGTTGTTGTTGTTTTCCCTTTGTAGTTCTTGAACTGGTAAGCTATCGACAAAAGCCAGCTTGCAGACTCGGGAGGGCAATGTTGACAAGTGTGTTGAGCAGAATAATAGAATCAGAAGACTATTTATCAGAGTCGTTATCAGTCAGATATTGTGAACCTCTACACTCACATTCTCAGCTTCCCTCCATCCCATCCAGCAGGTGCCTAGATTGGGTTCATTCTCTTTATCTCCATCCTTCCTATTGACATCTTGCTGAAACTCTGTGTTAAAACGGCAAAGAAAAGTTCACACTTCAAAATACCCTGCAAAGTCACAAGCTAGGATATAGGAATCTAGAGACTCAGATAAAAAGTATAAATGAATTTACTCCACTGAGACATACAGTGGAAATAAATTGAGAACTAAGATCAAAAGTAGTCTATATATGAAGATGAAGGAAAATACTGGACTAGAAGAGTGGGGAAAATACCGGAAGGAAAAAGAGCAAAAATAATTACAAACAACAAAAGTGCCATGCCGTGCGGTGGGTAAGAAATGAGATCACACAAGGAGAACATGGTTCCCTGTGAGTGACAACTCAAGACCCTCTCAGTAGGCAGGTGGGTTTGAGGAAGCAGCTCAGTTCGGGCCTATATTGGGCTTCCTCGGTACCAGTGACTGTCCCTTATATAAAGCAACACACCTATTTCTCACTTTTCCCGCGATCTATGACCCAAAGTCTTCTCTTCAAACTCACTTTCGACCAGGTCTTAGACTGGAAGTGTCTCCATTAAATACCAGAATGGTTACAGAGTCAACGTGGTGACTACCCTTTTCAGGTACATAGAGAACTGCCACCTCCATTGTCCGTTTGAAAAACAAACAAAAACAACTAAAAAACTATGCCATTTTGGTTTAAAGCCACCATAAAGCAAGGAGGGGGAAATAACATCCTTTACAAATCTTTTGGTGTTCTGTATTTTTAAAATAACCTCACAAAATTCTAAGCATAATCTAAAGTCGTTGGGCCCATACAAGCATAATTTGATGTAATCTGTTGTTTGTTTATATGTTTAGAGACAGGGCTTCACTCTAGAACACAGGCTCAGGATCCTCAGAATCATGATCCAAATGCTTCCACTTCCCAAGCGTGGGATCACAGGTGTGAACGACTACCCCTGACTACCGGAAAGAGAAGGCAGTAAGATCAGCAGCATATGTCTCTCTCCTAAAAACGGAAATAAAATAAATCACAGTCCAAAAATACAAAATCCATCAAGCAGATACTTACACTGTCAGTAATGTGCACAGTTAAAATTCCCTGGATTTCATCTTTCCTTACTGAAATACATGAACTTCATTCAAATCTAGTTAATTTAAGAGACAGATAATTTACTGAACAGAATTTAAATGCAGAATTAAATGCATTATGATTGTAGTCTCAGATAGGATTGATGCTTTTAATTCTAATAACAGATATAAATGGAGGGAGAGCTAACACGTTCCATTAGGCCCATCCATATGTTCTTGTTTGTTTCTTTGATAGTAGAACCATCTCATCACTGCCAACAAAAGATATTCCCACTAAGGACCCAGCTGGCAAAAGGGAAAACATAGGACATAACCCCTCCTCCACACACACACACACACACACACACACACACACCCTCCAATACTCAGAAACACAATCCATCCTTCTATCCTGGATTGTGTGACAAGCATAGGGAGCCAGAGCACAGCACTGCATCCTTGGTATTCCTGCATTACTTTATTAGCTAAACAGTGTCAAGACATTTGGAGAAAACACAGAAATGGGCCGGTGATACCACATTGTGGTACACCATACTACATCTCTCTTGAGATTTGTCTTTATTTTGATTTATGTGTGCATGTGTTTTGTGAAAGTCTCATGTGTGTGGCTGTCTCTGCAGGACAGAGAAGGGGGTTAGGACCCCTGGATCTCACATTTATAGGTGGTCGTGAGCTGTTGGACGCTAGACTCAGGAAGAGCAGCAAGCACTCTTGACCACATAGCCATCTCTCCAGACCTCTAAAATCCTCCTTCATAGGGACCATCAGTGACATTGTTTGGATATTAGAAGCTAGAAAATGCGTGATTCCCTAAGCAACATAAAGGTTGCTTCAACCTTATAACAGGTGAAACGACTCGCAATCTCTCATGTTCCCCTTTCCACTCTGAAATGAAGGAATCCATTTCTTACGACCTTAAAATATTGCAGATTCTTCTGAGATACACTGCGGCGAGCTGACCTAACCCAGACTCACTCTCCCACTTCATCCTAGAATCTTTTCATTTGATAAATCTCCCTTTGTGCTCCTTTTGTGCATCTTAGATATTCCTAAGCTGTTAAAACGTTTTCTTAAACAAATACGGTTGATTCAGTCAGAAAATAAACATTGTTGGAAGATCTTCCCAGGAAAGTTTCTGTTTAACTTCTCACTCTATACATGAACACACGCACAGTCACACAAACAAACACAAAGACACACACACACACACACAGACACAAACACACACACACACACACACAGGGTTTTTTTTATTCCTCCAGGACTGCCTGTACCTTCACTGCTTTTTTTTAAGGCAAGCCTGTCTGTATTTGTTGTGTTGGCCAGTGTCATGTTCGTGAAATGGTGAGGGACTTGAGTGAAGTGAGCATGTCTAATCCCTTCCTTGCAACTACTCATTTCTCTTCCATCCACTAAGAAGATGAACTTTAAGTAAAATCAATTCATATAAATCAATTATATGACCATCTATATCTTTTTATTATTTCTACTAATTTCTCTTTAGCTAGCACACAAAATAGTGGGTTTCACTAAGCTACTTCTGAGCACATAACATATATGTGTGTACACACACACACACACGCCACTGTTTTACTTTCCTGTCCTACTTTACAATTCCCACTGAGAGATTTTCCCTCACCATAGTTTCCCATCTGTGTTCACTGAACATGTGTGTGCATAAGCGTGCATGAACGCACACACACACACACACATTCTGCATGAGAAAAAATGTTATATTTGCTTTTCCCTCCGAATTAACCAGTATTGTCCCCTATGAACAGTATCTCATTTAAACAAACCTTTCCACTCACTTGCATGTACATTTATTATATATTAAGTGTAGATTCCATATATGAGTGGAAAACATGCAATACTTGTATTGAGTCAAACTTATGTTTATCAGGATATCTCTACCCCCCTCCACACACTGTGAAGGACACAGTTGCTTTAACTCATCTCCAGCACAGTGAACAATGTTCCTTCCCCCCTCCTACAGTCTCATTATGACTTATTAATCATATTTTTATGAAGTCAGCAATTCCGATTGGGATGAAATTGAATATTAACACAGTTTTCCTGTATACTTCCCTATAGCTGAGGGGGGTTTTCGTATCTCTAATCACCATTTACATCTCCCATTTTAAATTCTTTTCCTTTGTCCATTTATCAACTGAAGGACTTTTTTTCATTTTTTGTTTAGTTTTTATATACTATAGATACTACTCCTTATCAGAGAGCAAAGATTTCCTTTCTAATTATAAGGTTGTCACCTCACTCTGCTGAAATTTTCCTTGAATGTACAGATTGAAATTTCAAGCAGTCCTTCATTCTAAAATGCTCTGAGATATTGGAAAGCTGTCTCCAAAACCATTACTTACCTGTGCCTCTATGACATGTACAATGGTTTCAAAATTTCAGGGCTAATGCTAAAGCCCTTAATCTGTTTAGAGCAGATGCTTATGTAGGGAAAGACTGGGATCAAGTTTCATTAGTCTACCCATAAATACTCACTTTTTATTCATTCTCAGCCAAACGCTACTCCAGTAACCTAAAGATTCTTTTAAAGCATTCACAAGTATTATAGAACTGTGCTATTAATTCAGCCATAAAACTTGAAAACAGACAGTACGGGCATCAAAATATTATGCCAACCAATGTTGCAAATTCAGAAAAGGATAGAAACCATTGTTCCAAGGGCTCTCAATGAAATTGCTTAAAGCTATTGCATTTTTACTTATGAATTTCAACCAATAGCACTTTAGTCTAAAGACAATCATACATAGAATGGGATCAAAATCTTTACTTGAGTCTTTTTTCTTTAAAAACTAACAATGGGCTGGGTGATGGTGATGCACACCTTTAAGCCCAGCATTTAGGGGGCAGAGGGAATATGACCTTGATGAGTTCGAGGCCAGCCTGGACTACAGAAGGAGTTCCAGGAAGGGCTCCAAAGCTACACAGAGAAACCCTGTTTCAAAAAACAAAACAAAACAAAAAAGAAACAATGTCTGAATTCATATGTTGAATTTTTAGTCACTATCTGTCAAAACTCTCTTTTCTCTGAAGATTTTGATGTGTGGAATTCTACCTGGACCCTTTATCAGCTGTTGTCTATGAGTGTTGTATTAAAGAGAATCTTACATGAAATAGTTTACTATATTCTCTCACTCACTTGTGTTTATTTTTTATTCTATTGGATTATATGCCAACTAGTGAATACTAAACAGCTTCTCCAAAACACAGGGCATTTAAAAAGGAAAATGCGGGATACTGTGTAGACTCCCATTTGGTTCGTTGCTTGAAAGAATACATGATGAAATACATTTGCCAAGAAACTGATATTAAAAACAAGAGGGTGGGAACGCTGTGAAAAATGTGGACAGAAGCCTGGCAAACCATTGACAGAGTCATTGTTGGTTTTCAAGGAAAGATATGAGGAAGATAATAACATAAAATAACTTTAATGATAATTAGAACAACAAGGCTGAGCACTTCCATTGGCCCAGGCACTCGATTCTGTACTCTAATGATTTACATGAACTCATGCACTCCTCCGAACCATGTTGCACAGTGGATGCTATTCTCATTAACATTTCATAGATGAGAAAATGAATGCAGCAGCTTGGAAATTTGCCTAACGTCACCAAGCTGATGTAATGCAGAGCCCAAGATTCATAGTCTTATATTCTGCCCTTTCACAACAAGCCGAGATTCAGCTTCTTCGGCCATCTCTTCTTCACTCAGCCAGTGCTGATAGTCAAGAGCTAAGCTCTGAAACCCATGGTATCACTTATGAAAACCTGGTGTGTGGAGATCTGTGGGTAGAAGCAATACTGTTCCGTTTAATCTTCACTTCTATACCAGAAGATGGTGCTTACTTCTGCTCAGTTTACCAAGAGAACCTGGAGTCTTGTAAGAAGTCATCACCCTAGTTATTATCTTCCCAGTCTCATATTATCTTCCCAGCCAAGAACACAAAATTGTTTAAAACAACAAAAGGAAAAGAAAAAATAATTTTTCAGGGAAAAAATAGATTACATTGGAATATTCTATAATTATTTTAAAGTGAGATTTAAGTAATTTACATCACTATTTTTCCTTTCCCAGTTATCTTTATAGGTAAAGAAAAGAATGTTTAGACACACAAAGAAAATATTAAGCAAGGAAATTCAGAGATAAAGGAGAAAAATATCCCCTGAGGGTCTCTTAGCCCAAACAGGATGTAGAATTTCAACCTGGTGGTGGGTGGGTGTCTGTTGACAGTGGTTCTTAAGCTTCAATAAAAGCAGAAATGACTGGAAAATCCAGTACATCTACTACTTCTCTGTATTCTAGCCCAGCAGCTTTGGACACGGCCATAAGAACATTGTCTCAGGCTTCCCATTTTAATAGGCTGCCTGCAGGAGATATGCTTAAAAAAAAAAATGCTGCAAGAGACTAGAGACTCACTCCCAAGCAAGTGTTGCAATTATGCATTCCATCACATAATCGTGTAAAGCTGGCTGTCCCACATCCTACCTGCATCAACATCCTTGGGGCTGTGCTCTTCATCAGGAAGCCTGGATGGTTCTCTCCTGGGAAACCGCCCTTCGTTGTAGTCCATGGAATGCGTGGGTTGACTAACTGCAGCCCAGGTGTAAAGCTGGTCTTGCTGCATTTAAAAAGGTATTTAAATGGAAATCAATTCAATCACGAAAAATAAATGGCTAATACATTACAAAATGTAAAAATACCCTCAAATACATGCAGATGTGCATACCTATCTAAAGCATTCAAATAGCATCTTACATTGTACAATATTGAGCCATAAGACATTTCTCTCAAACTGCCCCAATTATTATTGTCATCATTATTATTGTTCTTTTTCTTATTATTATAATTATAGTAAAACCTACGTGTCTCTCTTTGGAAGAAGAAATACTACACGGGCCTGCCATGAGACACTCCAGATGTAGAGTTATACAACTTCCTGAAAATGGGTCTTTAACCCATCTAAATATGATGTCTCTTTAGCTTTGCTGGTGTGAATTTGGCTTGCTTTGGTTTGGGGTTCTCAGGTAGGGCCTCTCTCACTATCTACCAGGCTAGCATTGAACTCCTGGGTTCAAGTGATTATTCTTCTCAGTTTCTCCATCATTGGGACCTACCAGCATGTATGGCCACACTGGGATGATGTCCCATTAAAAACTTGTTTAAAAATGTAGAACTAAAAAAAAAAAAAACAAACAAACAAAAACAAAAAAAAACTTGTTTAAATACTTGCAGGAAAGTTATAGGATAGTCTGGGATAGTCTGTACATGGACACCACAAGGACAATAATAGCTGCTTACCTTGTGACCCAGATTGGAAGTTGAAAGAAAGGGCATCAAAAAGTCAATTAACTTGGCAAGAGCAAGATTATATAGGACTCTTATGGCAAAGGAATGCTTCACCAGTTGTAGTCAAGATAAAGCGCACAAAATGAGAAGGTTCCTGGATGTACCTCATGCCAGAAGGTAAACCAGATGGCTCCCTTGGGAACCTATACCTCAGAGTTGATCATCAGGACTTCAGAACAAGGCCAGTCCTTTTAGGATGCACATGAGCTATATATGCATGCACAAACAAAATGAGAGTTGGAACAAGAAACACAGCCAGCAGCATGGGCATTACAAGGAATCATTGAATGTTACTGATGATAATAGGCCAAGAAATTTTGTAGCCAAGAAAAAGCAAAAATAACTGCCAACACTGACCACAAAGGGGTAGATAACCTTCACTAGCCAATGATGGATACTGAGAATAAACAAATTCCAACAAAGAAAAACCAAGAACCTCATGACTTCACTACTGAAATCTACCAAATGCTTAAAGAACCAATAAATTCTCCTTAATTCCTACCAAGAGAAAAAAAAAATGCCAAAGAGCAATGTTTTCTAGCTCAAGTCCAGAATCAGCCAACCCAGATTAGGACATCATTGAAAAGAACGCTACATATTCCAGGAATATGAGTCTATGCAGAAATACAACTCATGGAGAGAGGAAATATATGGACCAAAGAGAATGAACAAATGGTGACCAGTCACCTGAGGTTGTAGGGATGTAGAAAGCAAGGACTGCTCATTTGGGCACTGAACACAGGATGAGTACTCTGAGTCACAATGCTCCCGGGTAGGGTTTGATGGGGACCTAGAGAGCTTCGAGTAGGTGGATCCGACTGGGGCAGAGAAGGCACACGATCATGATGATGACAGTGGTGTGTGTGTACATGTGAACATATGTGTGTATGTGCATGACCACATGTGTACACATGCATATGGAGACAGGGGTCAATGTCAAATGCCTTCATATCCTGCTCTCTTTACGTACTGTTGAGGCAGACTCTCTCTCTGAAGCTGAAGCTTGCTGATGGTGCTAGATTGCTCTGGGAAGCCGCTGTAGCTCTAGGGTTACAGGCTCACACTGCCACCCCTTGCTTTTCACATGGCTGCCTGTTACCCAAATTCAGGCCTTTCTGCTTGCGCAGTGAACACCTTCCTGGCTGAGCCCTCTGCAAAATGGAAATAAGGTCTGTGCCTCATGCTACCTTGATATTGTACAGGCTTGATAAATAATGCCAAACACAGTTGTAAGTATGCTCATTTCCTGATTATTCATACCTTACCTTCACACAATTCTGATTTGAAGTTTGGGAGGTTCCCACTACAATATTTTGAACAGAAGTGAAAATAAAGCACCATGCTTTGGCATATAGCCACAGAAAAAGCTGATTTCTTAATGACATTTCAAAGAAGTTATTCACCTAATAACAGTTACTAGGAACATAAAGTCCTTTCAATGGATTTATGAGCCCACATACAATGTTAGTTCTCAGGAGGAAAGCAGACGTAAACAACTCTTTTCTACCTTCTACTGTACTAACTGGGACATGGTATTGTAGGCTATAAACATGCCTATTGCTTCAGAAAAGCCTTCATTTTCACTGTAGAGAATAAAAATGCTCTTTAGCCAATTAAATAATATAATTCAAACTGCTGTGGAACAATCCTTTCACACTGTGTGAATATTTTTACTCTCATTAGCTAGTAAAAGCTGATTGGTCAAGCTGGGCAGTGATGGTGCAGAGCTTTAATCCCAGCACTTGGGGGGCAGAGGCAGGCAGATTTTTGTGAGTTCGAGGCCAGCCTGGTCTACAGAGTGAGTTCCAGGACAGGTTTCAAAACTACAGAGAAACCTGTCTTGAAAAATAGAAACAAAAACAAAAACAAAAAGCTGATTGGCCTATAGCAAGGCAAAAAGTATAGGCAGGTGATCAAAGTGAAGATACAGGGAAAAAAAGGTGTAATCAGAGGTCAAGAGGAGCTACAGAGAAGCAAGAGAAATGTGTCATGCTAATAAAGGTATCACCACATGGCAGAGCATAAATAAGGAATATGGACTAATTTATAATGTAGGAGCTATTTAGTAATAAGTCTGAGCTATTGGTTGAACATTTACAATTAAATATAAGCCTCTGTGTGGTAATTTGGAAGCAGCTCCTGGAACAGGAAAATGCTACCTATATAAAAATAAATTTTTAAATATTTTTTATGTGTGTGTAAGTCTGTGTATGTGTATGCACAGCCTGAAGTGGGTGCTAAGAACCAAAATCAAGAACTATAATAAAACAATAAGCACTCTCGTGGACTGAGCTATCTCTCCAGCCCCAAGACTAAATTAATTTCGAAGGGCTGAATAGTTGGTTCATTAGTAGAACATTTTCCTAGGAGGCATAAGCCCTTATTTTCTCATGTTTTTCCTGTCATTTAGGCAATTAATGTATGTATTACTGTAGCATATCTCACTGCCTCTACGATTCCAACTACTCAGCAGATGGATAAGCTCCAAATCGCTGCTCAAAAAAATTGTTTTATCTTCTCTGCAGACAAACCCTGAGAGGAAAGCCTTCCTGTAAAGGAAGATTGACCATCACTGAGTCCTTTGCATCCACTACCATCCTATCTCTGGTCTTGCAGCTTTGTTCCAATTAATTAAAATCCCTCCCACGAAGCAAAGGTGTTTCCGAGACTAACACCAGCATCACCGTCTCCTACATCACTGCGGAAAAAAAAATCTTCCTGATGCAGCATCACCTCCTCCCTCATCCTCTGGAAATGCATGATGGGCAACTTGGGAGAAACTGCCTTGCAGGTGCCCACAGCTTTGAACAGGTCATCAGTTTTTATTTTTAAGTACCCTAAAATAAATTTTTCCAAATTTAGAAGTGTTTGAAGACAGGTCTTGATATGCCTCAATATTTCATTCTACGTGAGTCTCCTTTCAGCGACACACACATTCCTTCAGAAGCCCAATTTTAGCCACTAGCTAAAAGTCTAGGCATCTAATAAGGATTGATACATCAGTAACCATGCAGCCAGTTTTGAGGTTTATTATGCTACTGATCTTTAGAAAAGACATTTTTTGCTTTTGTTTGTGTGTTTACATGTGTGTGCCTGTGTTTATGTCTGTGCATGTAGTGCCTGCAGAGTTCAGGGGAAGGAGTCAGATCCCTCAGGACTGGAGTTCCAGCTGACCGTGGCTTCTGTGCTGCCAGCTGAACTCGGGTTGTCTGCACGAGCAGCAGGAATGCTTGATCACTGAGCCATCTGCCTTTCTAGGCTCAGCTCTGAGGATTTCTAAATGAACTAATTAATTACAAACTATAGGTCAACAATATTTAGAATATGAATTATGGAGAATTCTTACATATAAACTATTGCCCACCCAGTCTTCCAAACTAGAAACCACGACCTTTGATAGGTCAGTAACTCACATTCTCAGCACACCACCAGGAACAATGCTTTGCATGTTAGATATGGCACTAGAACTCACTCCCCATTCATCCAAGTGGTTTTAGGCTCCCACACCGAGTGCAGATTTCCCCCACGGTCACCCCAATGCTGGAGCATTCCTTATGTCTGATGGGAAGCAGTTTTCACAAACAGCAAAGAAAGGTACATCTGCATCTGCTACCATAAGTCTTGAAGCTCTACAGATGTTCTGAGATGGAACTGTGGCAGCTGGTGTGCCTATGAAGAACCCCCTATAATGCCATCTACCCATTCTTGTCCTCCATCCTCTGCCGTTACGCTGCATCTGCCACCAAGATGATTCATCATTTCTTGAATGAACCAAGATTGTCCAGAGCCCAGTGCCCTTATATAAATACTCTCAGGAATAGAGAGATGGTTCAGCCTTTCAGAGTGCTCGCTGCTCATCCAGAAGACATGGGTCTGGTTCCCAGAACTCATGCTGAGTGGCTCCTAACCACCTGTAACTCCAACTCCTGGAGTTTCGATTCCTTTGTCTCTACAGGCAGCTCACATGGCAGATGCACACAGAGACACTGAAAATACACATAGACAGAAACTTTCCATCTTAGAAGTTTGGTTTCCTCCCCCAAACAACTTGCCTTTTGACCTTGCTGTGAAGGTGAATAGGCAGGGTCAATGGGAAGGGATTCCACGGGAACACACCTCTGAGCAAATCACTAGTGAAGGTTCCAGATCAAGTTAATTAAGGTGGAGACACACCCTGAATGTTGACATCATCATTCCACAGGGAGGAAGGTAAGTTGAATACAAAAGGTAAGAGCGACCCCAGAACCAGTATTCAGCACTCCCTGCTCTGCA